AAGACGAGTATCTAAGTGCGACTGGGATCTGTACTACAGATGGGGCGGCCAAGCAACACCAACCAGGCGCAGCCCATCATCAGCACATGGTACAGAGTAACACCACGCGCCGCTGGGTATCCTGGTCACTAAAACAGCTTTGATGAAATAATAAAAGCATACACACAGACGGACAACACACCAAGAAAACAAAACCAGGCATACGCAGAACACACGCACCTGAAAATCACAGACAAAAGCAAGCAAAGAGAGATTAGTCACACGAGTGTCTTTACAAGACATCAGAAAAAAACGTCATTAACAAATCAACTCCAGAGGGGAATCTTACATCCAGTCCTTATATACCAACTCCTTAAAAAGAAAAAAAAAAAGAAGTACACCTCCTGAATACTTACCTTAATGTTTCGCCCTCCCAGCATGACTGAGTTCATCTGCTCCAGAGCCAGCTGAGCAGCCTCTGGCACATCATACTCCACAAATGCAAACCCCTGAACAGAGACAAATGCAAGAAAACAGAACATAAACATTCAAAATGTTTATATCAAGAGAAAAAAAAGACTTAACTTAACCAACCTTGTGTTTCATTGTTACAGAATCCCAAGACATGTCAATACTCTTGATTGGGCCAAAGGGGGCAAAGGCCTGTCTGATGGTATCCTCACCCAGCTCATAGTATATGGAGCCAACATACACCCGACACATGATTGCAAGAGCACGTTGCCGCTGAGCTGCTACCTGCCAACCGGGGGAAAAAAAAAACATGATAAGCATTAGAGAGTAATAGAGAAGAGGACAAACACACTATTTAAAATGTATATTTTCTACTGTGCTTGCTTTTCCCAGAAATAATTAGAGGCCAAATCTAAGTAAGGGGGTCTGGACAAGTCATTAGGGTAACAAATGAGATACTGAAATCAATGGACACAACATTGTGAAGAATTCTAACATGTATAACTATTGTAATGTTTTCATGTCACCACTTGTAATTACAATATAGTCTCTTTTCTGTTACTTTTGAATAGAGGAAAACACACTAGCGATTTACATGCACAGCCCTCATTTGGCTTCAGTAACTGACCTGTAGTCCAGGGATGCAAGTAAGGTAACAAAAGTAATCGTGGAGTTCAAACGAAATCCATACAAAGTCTTGATGACAGCATTTCAAACTTTCTTCTCATTTCTAAGGGGAGGGATGCTGACTAATGACTTGAGCTTCTACTGTATTAATTCTATTACCAACACAACATAGCATGTGCCTATTTAATGACATCATGGAAAGTTAACTTGTTCACTGACAGAATTTTTGTTTTGTTTCAGCAGTTCTGTCAGTTTGGTACATTAAAGGGATCGCTATCCCTCTTCTGTCCCATGCCAAGAATTTTCTGTTTTAAGTCAAGCAAATGCATATTTTTACAATGACTTTTCTCACACCTATTAACCTGACAAGAAATCGTTTTAAAAGCTTAGGCTATGCCTATTTTCTCATTAAAAAAATCTACAGCAAATTCTTCCATGGTGACTCAAGAAAACGAAAAGACTCAAAAATGAACGAAAGTAACTCCTCTCACGAAGAATTACGGACGTGGTTGCAGGTGCACTAGCAGTATGTCATGTTTCTTACAAAATATACATTACTGGGTTAAGTGAAAGACTGGGAGTGTTGCCATAGCAACCAATATAAGAAGGGTAAAAGCCCTTTTCCATTGCGCACAGAAAAAAAAGTTGAATAATCTATTGACCGATTGTAAAGGTGAGAGAGGATCTCCAAAGCCCATTGTCACTGCTGCCATCTGAAAGACAGAAAAGATGAAAAAAGTGCTGAAAAGTAGGTTAGATATCCCTTAGCTTTGCTTTTCAAAACTGTCATTGATTTGCTAGATATACAAAAACTGTTAAAGATAACTCTATATGCAGACACTCCCTCTTAACAACATTTGGGGAGTTGTCACCCCAGTTCAATTACAAATTAACACACAGCAATAAACATAAAAAAATGCAAAGCATTTAACATGTTAACCAATGACTTCATGACGATCTTCTCCATCTGTAAAAAGTAGAAGCAAAAGCAGAGGCGCCTAGTCTGCAGCCGTAAGAAATGGACACCTAATACTGTAACCATCATCTAAGTCAAGAGAAGTCTGAGATACTAAAAAGACTACAATTTATTAAGTGCTCCCTTCCCCCCACATCCGTAACCTTGGTGTCATCTTGGACCAAACCCTCTCCTACAACAAACACATCAAACACATCACCAAAACAGCCTTTTTCCACCTCAGAAACATCGCCCGCCTCCGCCCATCCCTTCTCATTTTCAGCTGCCGAGACCCTCACCCACGCATTCATTACCTCCAGATTAGACTATTGCAACAGTCTCCTCTACGGATCACCATCACACTCACTCAAGAAACTCCAACACATTCAGAACGCCGCAGCCCGTCTTCTCACACACTCCCGCACCAGAGACCACATCACCCCCCGTTCTTCATGACCTCCACTGGCTCCCCATCCCCCAGCGTATCAACTTCAAGCTCCTCATCGTCACCTTCGAAGCCCTTCACAACCTGGCTCCCCCCTACCTGTCTCACCTCCTCCACCGACACACTCCCACCCGCACTCTCAGGTCTGCAGATGCAAGCCTCCTGGTCCCCCCCCCCCCCAGGACCAACCTTCGGTCCTGCGGGGGGGGACAGGGCTTTCTCTGTTGCTGCTCCCATCAGAGACATCAGAGACTCCCCCACACTCACCTCCTTCAAGAAATCCCTCAAAACTCACCTCGTCAACATTGCCTACAACCACTAACTCCCCCCCATTACTTCTTCATTGTACTGTCCTCGTCGTTTTTCGTTTTGTTTTACGGTTTTATATTTTGTCAAAGCGTCTTTGAGATCCTAGAAAAGCGCTATAAAAAAACAATATATCATTATTATTATTATTAAGGATTAAAAACTCACAGGGAAACATGGTTTCAAAACGTTACACGTATCTCACCTGCAGGTTGGTGAGCTGTTGTTGCTGATGGGCGATGGTCTGTTTCACCAACACACTCTTAATGCTTTGTTCCATGGCATACTTCTTTGCCTGAGGAAGAAAAAAGTAATAACAAATATTACTGTTTGAACAATTGTTCTTCATCACTTTGTGTATACCACATTTTTTTTACAGAATGGTACCTTAAGATGCATGCAAGAAACCAGACTTTATTGAAACAGACACACTGTGTAAAGGGTTTCCTACCCTCTGAAGTGCCTCCTGCTGCTCTGGGGTAAGAGGCGGAAGGCCAAGCTTGGAGCCTGTGCCCTGTCCATTCTCCATCATCAGAGCTTCACCTCCCTGCAATGTACAAAAAGCAATTAATCAACATAACATAAGCAACAATGGAGCCTTGATCTTAAACTTCCGCCTGCATGTACATCCATATCTGCATTAAAAATCCTGCATTGCAATAAGAAGTCACGTTATACACTGAAGGTTAATTATTTATATGTAGGACATGCACCTGGATGAACTCCTTACCTGCACAACCTGCTAATCACTGGGTCCACCAGGCTGAGGCAGGAAAGCCCCCAAGGGGAAGAAGATTGATGGAGAAGCTTTAATTCAACAAATTCTAGTGGGAAATAAAAAATGCCTTCAGACTACTATAAAATAAAATAAAAAAACAGGCAGCATCATTTAACAATCTACACACAACCTTTGATTTTAGTAAACTAACGTTAGCAGAAAGCCAATTCAGTCTAATGCAACGTTACCCAGCTAAACAACAACAATGTCCTCAACTTTAACCGAAAGCGTTTTTGCCAAAGTCGATATTAAGTTACATATTTACGCAATTAAGTGTAACATTTATTGAAAGGCATGATATGAATGACGAGGCCTCATAACAAGGAGTTATCTTACAATAGCTATCGTTAGCCATTCATGACTAAAAGGAGATAAAATGCACATTTATTCACGGGATATTTTTTAATAATTCACATGCACCATGCATCGAGTACAAACTACCCATCGGCTCAAGTAGCTGAAAAATATGAATTGCGTATCTTCCACTGGATATGTATTTACCGCTGCCTCCGTATCTGCCATGAAGCACACCCTCTCGAAGAGGCCCACTCGCTTCAACTCTCGCGAGATCTCTAATGGTTTCAATGAAAGATGTCGCGATGATAGGGTCACAATTTTCAATACAAACTTTCAATCGATCATTCCATCTTTATTTGTATAGCCAATGGCGATTCTAGAGTCTGTTGGGGCCCTATAGGCAAAAATGAATTGGGAGCAACTATGACCACCGTCTGCCAGTGTCCCAACACTCTTACTTGAATAATTCCTCTTCATCATTCTTCTAAGCAGGGCAATGATAGTAATTGCTGTCAGGTGGGGGCCCCTTAAGGAGGTTTCCTACTGTCATTGCAACATTTGTGAGTTTGTCAGCGCTCTGTGGCCCCTTGCGAGGCTGGGGCCCCAAGCAGCTGCCTGCCTTGCCTGTTGACTTTTCTTTTATAACAATTTAAAACGAATGTTATCTCAAGACACTTTACAAAGGTGCAGGTAAATATTCATACTCTTTATTTTATTATGTTACAATAGAGCAGGTGGGGGGGGGGGGGGGGGGGGTAGCAGAGATGTAGCTTTTGTCGTTTTCAGTTGTACACTTACTAAACGACACAACTGGCTTCAGGCTTATCATATTAAATTGTTCTTACCCACAACATTTTAGTTCTCTGGACGTGTTTCAATCTTTTTGAGTTTTTATTTTCATATTGAAGCCTGTGTATTTACTTTAAATACTTCAAGGTCTAATGTAGCCTTTTGCCAATTTGTTTAACAGGACAGTCTCATTTAGCTTTGAATTGAGTTTAACCTAGAAATCAAATAATAGCATTATAACATTATAATGTTTTCATAAAGGTGTTATTTTTACAACATACTTGTAAACTGAGATATATCTAAACTTAATCTTAATCTTTAATTTCAAAATAATAACATGAATCAGACACATCCAACATGTCACATAATGTTTATTGTCATGTATTTAATTGCAGGAGCTAAAATACCAAACAAAAGTTTAAGGACACAGCCAAAGGCAAGTTTTTATTCAACAGATGCACACAGAGAAGAAAAAAAAAGTCATTAGACATGAATAAGACTGATATGGATGCTTTCTTCCCATTTGCACAGTCCAAACATTCAGGTCCCCTCTGGGACCAAACTGGGACTGACAAAAAGGCAAAATGCAAATTCTGACCGGTTGCAGGCTATTAAGACATGCAGCTTACAAGATCATATGAGCGCAATAGTGGCACTGCTTTGCATTGGAAGGTTGTCTAAAATGAAAACCCTTTAACAGCCATAAACAAATATGTACAGCACAGCCTCTAGTAGATGAATGTTTTGTAGATTTCAGAGAAACACACAAATAAGAAGGCATGACACAGAGAAGAGTATAAGTCCTGTTTGCAATGACTGTACAGCAGCTAAAAGACTCAGGTTAACAAATGAAGCACGGCCAAGTGATACTAATGCTGAAGACCAATCATACAATCCTCTATTGTTTTTTGCTGCCCAGTTCTGTTCAGGAAAAATCCTCCCAAAGCTGCCAAGACTGGATTCCTCACAAGAAAATCTGGACGAGCCGAAGGGGATGTGTTTTATTTTTGTGTTAGTGTGGGCTGCAGTGCAACCAATGCCAAAGTTCACTGTGGAAATGTCTGAATAAAATACAGGGTATGTGTTACTAAAGAATTATTGTCCAAATGAGAATATTGCACACTTCAATCAGAATGATTTTTTTTATCGCCTGCAGCCAATGGAAAGCAACACAGATAAGCATATCATGGATTAGGAGAAGACTAAAATATTTTATTCTGGAAGGCTTTTGGGTAGAATAATTTCCTTCAAAACCCTCAAAAATGAGTGCGGCAGAAATATATATAAACAACATGGCAATTTATATCGACAAGCCTTTATTTTGTCGATTTAATTTCTTCCTATTTCGATTTTTTTGTACACAAGCTGCAGCATATTACATGATCAATACAAATATTGGACTTAGTGGACATTCTCAAAGGCTGACTTTGTGATGTAGAATCATGATAAGAGATTCAAATAAGTCCAAATCGATGTATCTGCTGGTTTTGGAAATTGTAAAAGTCAGCCTGAATGAGTAAAACTACAAGTGGGCTATATAAGTCCGGTACAACGCCCTTTGATTAGAACTTTTTCTTATCCAAAGTATATTGCCATAGCAGGCACTTGTAAATCTTTGGCTTTCAGAACACGTTCACAGGGAAACCCCTTAAGAGCACTACAGGCTTAGAAGAGAGGCATCATCATCTCGATTCTCGTCATTACATTTAGGCATGGCGTGTGGAGCTCTGCGAGAAGTGACCTTTAATCAAAGACTGCAGTGAGGTGTGAAAGAAAAGAAAACAGGCTTGTGCAAAGCTTCTATTGTTCACAGTTATAAAGAAATAAATAAGTCAACTGCACGAGTATTCACAATGCTTGTCGGGCGGAATATTTTATTCCTCGATTTAACGGATGGTTCGGGTTTGTAAGGGACGGACAGAGGCTTTAACTTTTGTAGAGTCAAAGTAAATAATCACAAAATCGAAGTAGACATTGGAGTCCAAATAAGGCGTATGAGCAGTAAAATGAATTTGTGTATTAAACATTTCCGTTCTGAATAGTGGCATTATGGAAAACCTAAGTTGCAATAGATCTTAAGGCATGATAGCCCCTCCAGGCAGGGAGTTCGTCAATCTTCCACTGCTTTGTGGGATTGCTGCACACAGCCATGATGGCCCTCCAAATAGAAGTTCCTGGGGTTTCTTCCTCTGGCGCTCTCTCTTGGACGATTTTCTGACTCTCGAGCACCAGAATCCTTCTGTATATGTCCCATCTTTATTCTTTAGCTGGATCAGCTCCCATCGCTCTCTCAGTTCTCTGGCTGTGTGATCCTTGCCCGCTGTCCTCCCCCCTATGTAGTCGACCCGTTTGGTCGCAACCAGCACCTTCTGTCTGGGCCATCTGTCGTGACCCCCTCCTCACTGTGTGCTCCCAGAGGCGAGCGTCCGAACACGATGTCGATTGATTGCATCCTCCAAGAACCCTGCTACCTTCTCACTGTCCTCCTACACAACACACAGGACATTTTAAACACAAGATAAAGAATAAAATCATGACCTTATGTGCATACTTTTGTTTTAAATTTCTAATTATAGCAAAACATTTATTCCTTAACGGTGAAAAAGGTTCAATCAATTACCTCATTTATGAAGGCGTAGTGAACAAGCTCACTGGCGAGGTCTTTAGAGGTGTCGGCTGAAAGTTTCACATAAAACATTTTAGTTTTTATAATATATCTAGAGTTTGTTTTTAAATTAGTTTTATTTCTCTGTTTGGCTTATTGTCAACAAATCCTGTAAACATACCAAAACCAAAATAAAATTTGTCCCACTAAGAATTATTGTTATGGTGCAGCTTTTTCCTTTAATCCCACAGAGCTCATATACACTTCGCTGCTGCTTCTGTTAAAGGACCAATATGTAACTCTGACACCTAGTGTTTAAAATGGGTACTGCAGTCCAAATTCAAAACATTGTAGAGAGCTGTCCTAAAATAATGCACTATCTACTCCTTTTTTAAACAACTTTGGTGGAAATCTAAAAAACAGTTTTATGGCCTAGTTTTATGAAAATAGAAAATGTGTGACCCATTTTGAAAGTGAGACTCAAGCTTTGGAGGTTTTCGTATTTTCAGTGAATTTGAACACAATAAGGAAGAGGAATACGGCATGTCTTGTTCTTACTTGGGAGGATGTCACAGCTGAGCTGCCTGTGAAGTTTGTCATCCATCTTCAGAAACAAAGAGAGCTATGGAGAGATCAAAAACAGTTCTGTTAAAAACGGGGTTTATGCAAAAGATCAAAATGCTTTAATACAGTTGAGCCCAGCAGAAGAGTTTAAACTGAAATGGGCAAAGTACCTGTAATACTGTGTGACTCACATGAGTTTTGGTCCCTTCTTCATTTGACTCCAGATTACAGTGCATCTGGACAACCTGAAGAACCAACAGACAGACGATACAGGGTCGATTGAGAGAGGTTGGACATAAGCAAAAACTTATTTCATACATGTTTGACAAGCCAAACATTTAATACAACGACTTAAAATGAGAAAACAAAATGAAGGTTTGTCATATATTTGCAACTTGGACATATTACCAACTCCAGCAGCACATAATCATTGTTACTGAATGTGGTGTAGTGATATAAAATACGACGCTTTCACAATTTAAATGAAAGGAAAGGAACACTTTGGAAAGCAGATAAAAGTAAGAAGCAGCTTCATTATGTGCATGAAGCTTGAACTTATCCTGCAGCAGTCACAGGATATATACCTCGGAGTCGTTACCCCCGCCCACTTGCTTGCTGTACATTTTTCCTGAATTTTACCTCCAGCGTTCACACATCAGCTCATTCAGACTTCTTGCTGTGATTTTACAAGGGGGGGGGGGGCTGGAAAAAGTCGGGATGAAAAATATCTCTGTTTGCTTTCACACATGCAGCTCATCCAAAAAACATTTGGAGACATTTTCACAAGTTTTGAGCTTGTGTGAAAAGGCTCTGACACCTTTTAATCTGAAAGTCTAACCTTCCTTGTTTCCGTCTCCTGCGGTTCAGGTGTCGGCGTTTTGACCGTCTCCACCTGCTCCTGAGACAGCGACAGGGCTCGGGGGACGGGATGGGGCCGAGACGAGGCAAAGTTCATTAAGGGGTAGATCCCGTTCCTGAAGAAGAGAGAAGTAGGAGACGATGTTGAACATGGTGAGCACAATCTATTCACAATGATGGATATCGTGCAGCTTAACTTACTTGACATCTTCCAGAAACTTGTCGAGTTCTAAAGGTGACACATGGGAATATCTAAAGGACACACAAAGAACAAGAGCATTAAGAGGTCTGCGCCTGACATGTTGTAGGATATCCAAAGTTACTGTGTGAGGAACTCGTGAGTGATTTTACTTGAGCTGAACTCCCTGTCTGTCTTCATGTTTGATCTCTGCCATGACAGCGTTGGGGTCGAAGGATTTGGTTTTCTCTTCCACACAGTTTTCTGGAAGCAAGTCTGAAGGCAAAGGAAATATTTAGACATTAGGTAACACATTTAAAACAGTCAACTCCTTTATCTTTAAAAAGTCAGGATTTCAACAAACCTGTCTTTACAAAACCATCTTAATCTACTGGACACCATAGCTAAAACTGATATATATATATATATATCATGGTATGTATTGTATTGTGGGGTTGTGGGAAATACCCAGCCCTAGTATGTGTACAGTCTTACATTGGAAAATTACAACCATGCATTTGTTCTTTAACTAAACCACTTTAGAAACATTTTATTTGTATTTGTTGTTTGTTTTGTAGTATCATTGATTTAAATAAATATTCTAATTAAACAGAAACATACTCTTGGTACAGTTTCAACGTGACATAATCATGTTCTGCGCAGTACATGAGAGAGAGGGAGCGACCTTGGAGTGGTCTGTTGGCGTGTGGAGGTGAGAAACTCACACTGGTTGTTGATGAGGCAGTGGGCGGCGAGCAGTTTGAGGGAGTGGACCTCGAACAGCACTCGATGGAACAGAAGGTCGTGAGCTGTAGGACGGAGCTTGGCTTCCTGACGCAAACAGGACTGAGTGAACTCCTGCAGGAAGCAACAAGAAACCAGCATGTAACTGAAGAACTGAACAGTACGTCCCAGTTTACTGAGTATCGCCACGTTTGCCTCTTGACATGTTTTATTTAAAATAATCACCATAAAAGTGCACAAAGTCTCTGCATGTGGTGTGAAATCAACCCAAAAGTAAGGTGGTGTGTGTAGGCGAGTGCTAACAGAGTAATAATGTGGGACAGTTGGTCTTTATCTCCATGTTTTTTCTCGGTCGTACTGCTGTGTTTATTTAGGACATGGAGTATTTTTGAGACTCACTCTCATGAGAGGATCTTCCAGAGATTGACCTGCATTGATGATGGCCTCCTTGGACACGGCAGTATCTCCGTTGGCCTGGATCTCTAGTACTGCCATCTAGGGGTAAGCACATATTCTGTTCACACACTCACACATAAACAGACAGTAAGTGGGAGAATTTTTACAGATCGGTTTCTCTCACCTCTAGAGCGCAGATGCCGAAGGAGAAAATGTCTATGGCGTGGTCATCCTCACCAGCTAGAAACAGAGAGGAAGGATGTCAGACACAAAGAAAGAAAAGTAGCCAGGAAAAGATTCTCCCGAAATAAAAAGTCATCATTTAGTCTTTGCAGTGGATTGGCTTCATATTGCACCAAAGAACTAACCAATCTATCTTTTTACTTCTTTAAAAGAAGCTCAAGTATTCTAACTTTTTTAAGGAAAACATTCATGTGTTTGTGTCTTATACATATTAAAGGGACTCCAATAATCCTGACTTCTACTTCATAATTTCTCAAAACTTAAATGCTTAAAAAAGGACTTAAAAAAATAACATGCATTGGTGTGCTCTACTCTGTGTATTTGACCAATCACAGAGGGTTTAAAGTCAAGTTAAAGCTCCTGTGCATCGACTATGGCACCCCGTGTAAATGTAAATATACATTAATTTTCTCACCAAAAACAATCTCACCCTGCTTTCCTTGTAAAAGTCAAATGTATCACTACTCAAGGATGTTGATTTGGAAAATGTTAACAAATCCAGCAGCTGCTGTTAATAATTTCGTCTGACACCTACCCCACAGAAGCAGTTTCAGGGGTTAAAACGAAGAGTATAGAAATGATCAGTCATGTCGCTCATGGTATGATTTGCTTTTCTCGGTCACACAGAGACATGAGGATTCATTTCAGACTGATTCATAACCAGCTAAAAACTCTTCACAGGAGCTTTAAGCTAAGGTGGTGATGGCGGGATTTTCATTAAAGTCAGTTACTCAGTAAAAATCAATAAAGACCTTCAGAAAGCTACACACTGTAAGCGATCACACTTACCACCATATTCTGGAGCGAAAAAATGCAGATTCCTCTGCTCATCGCGATGTTGCCTCCCTTTACCGTGCACACTGGCATCTGGAAACACTGGTTACAAAGACACAGACAACATGGGGCAGGTCAGCTGGAATAAAATGACCTGTGGATATGACACTGATGAAGACACGTCCACGACAATGTTATCTATTTCTTACCATTTACAAAAAGCCGATGCCAAACTGTGGAAAGAAAATTAAGCATAATTGAGATTCTGTCAAGTTAAACTGCAGAGATAAATGTAATGAATCTAGAGAGCCACAACATTCCCCACAGTCCACAACACAAGGGGCCAACACTAGTTGTAGTAACATGAAAAGCCCTGCAGGGAGCAGACCTGAGCCGATCTTTATGAGTCCGTTGTGCTGGATGAAGATGGTGTCGCAAGTCAGGTTGCCATGGATTATCGGTGGGTCACAAGAGTGCAGATAGCTGCCAGAAAAACCATGAAACACCTGCTTAATGGGACGAATGTGATGACAGATAATCTCTCATGATTAAAATCCTGGGGAAGGAATCAGTCAGTACCTGAGGGCGGAGAGAATCTGGGTGCACCATCTCTTCCAGGCCTAAAATATGGTGTAACAGAGCAACATGATTCCTCTTAAGACACAAGTTTACCTCCACTGAGGCCATGGAAGATTTAAACTGAACGATAATACAGGAATTTAACAAGAATTCTCAGGACTGTATGTTAAGTAGAGAAAATGCAGCATTGTTATTGCATCGTTTTTGTTTTTTTTTGCAATTTACAGCGCTGCATTATCGAATGTAATCAGCAGAAAGAGAAAACAGAAAAAGAGATTTTAAACACTGTGAGGATAACATATATGTCGAGGAAGACTAAGCCACTAGGGCTGTCTGCTTACATAATCTCTAATCCTGCGGGAAATATGGATCTGGATCAGGATCTGACTGCAGTACCCTGAGCTACCACCGCAAAACAGACGGAGACATCAACACAGTGTGTGACCAAAACACCGACCTTCACATTCATAGTCTTGTGGTTCTTCTTAGTTTTCTTCAGAAACTGTTTGAGGCTGCCCGACGACATGTACTCTGTGATGAATATAACCTGCGGGACACAGAGGGAGGGGAGAATGTTGCTTATTCAGAAGGGTTAAAATGAGAGGGGGAAAAAAAAGATAAAAAAAAGGAGTAAAAGACGACATCGTACCCTCGCCTGGGTCTCCTTCATGTCCAGCCAGTATTTGTGAAACTTGACGATGTTTGGGTGTTCGACCTGCATCAGGTTTTCAAACATCTCCTTGATCTTCTCCTGAGAAAAAAAGAGGAAGTTCACATCTTCACTTCCCATCACTGACAAAAAAAAAAAGAAGACATCAGAGGAAGTTCACATCTTCACTTCCCATCACTGACAAAAAAAAAAAAAGGTATTTCAATAAACGTTCCTTCCTCAACAGAGCTGAAAATGTTCGTCTGTTAAAAGAGTCTAAAACTCCTTTGAGGTGGTAGGGTTGTCACAATACCAGATTTTCAAATGTCATTATCATCCAAGTAAAAAAATCAAACAATATCAATACCTGTTTCAGTACCACAAGTAGGCCTATAGGCTCTTATGTTTAATTACCAATAACAGCAGGAAACTTTCAGCAGACATTTCTAAATTGCACAAATGTATTGGGCAACTTGTCAATACCAAAATATTGCCAATGTATTTGTGCAGTTTAAAAAGTGCTCTCTTTCTCTAGGGGCGCCGGTAGCCTAGTAGTTTGCGCACGTGCCCCATGTAGGGAGGCTTAAGTCATCCAAGCGGGCGGCCTGGGTTTGAATCCGGCCTGTGGCTCCTTTCCTGCATGTCATTCCCCACACGATTTCAAACTCTATCCCCTGTCACATATCTAAATAAAGCTGAGTCTCATCTCTTTGATGATTTTGTCCCGTACATGCTTCAGTCAGTTTACTATTTTTACATCGAGAAAGGAACATTGTCGTTGAGTATTTTCAAATCAAGGTCCAAGCTGGTGGCATCTTGTAAAAAAAAAAAAAGGAATATTTTCATTATGTGTCTTTGATGAGCTTAAACCACTGGATTAAAAAAAATCTCTTTTAATATCTTTTCATCTGCAGACAAACCCTCCACCAAAGGATGATTTGATTGCAATGGTCAAATTCACATGAGGCCCCTGACCTCGTTGTCTCTGATTTATGAGTCCTATCTCTACAGCGAACTCTCACAATACCTCCTGTGCTTTGAAGACTTTCTTGTCCGAGAAGAGCACCTCGTTCCACACCACCTCCACGCCCTCCTCTGTGTCCATGGCCAGAGACGCACTCTCCACACCGGGGACATTACCTTGGCTGACCTGCAGGGGGCAGACACATACAGGTAGGAAGAAGGTTAACCATAACGGTCTTATTTTTTATTTAAGCTACAAACACAACAGTAAGCATTTTCAGATTGAACCAAAAACAACGAGCGGAAAGATGTTTAAACCCAAAATAAGAGGGCAGAGTTTGGTAATTATTATCTTTGGCATCATGAGTGAAACATACAAATACACGTGAGAAAAAGGAGACATAAATAAAGAACAGTTTATAGGCTGCCAAGACAGCACCTGATTGTGCCTGTAAACGCAGATGTTCTGTAACTTCAAAGCAGCCAAGCGTTTACAGAAACCCAGATAACACACTCCAAAAAAAAAAAAATCCACTCTAAAATGATGAGACATCACCTCCGTTGCGTCGACAACATCTTCTAAAAGCTTCACATAATCCATTTAGGAATCTGCCAACAGCATTAATGAAAACTTTAATCTACTCCCTGAGACCTTATATCTATTTAAAAGCCATTCACACACGAGAAGACATCACTTTGGACCGATGGGAGATAATTCACTGGACTGCTGGTTTGTATAAAATGTTGCCAGCCAACTTCAACATAATGATGAAAATAAGTGGAGCGACGGGATGAGCAGCAGCCGCCGTGAAGAGAGAAGCGATGGATTAGGAGACAGAGAGAGAAGTGAGAGAAAGAGGGATTAAGAAAAGAACTACAGGAAAGTGAAGTGAAGAGGCACTGTCTTTAATCTGACAGAGGCAGGCAGCTCGAGGCAGCAACAGCTTCTTCTTTTTTTTAACAGGGGGAAAAATGAATCTTAAACCGCTCATCACAGGATATTGCTCAGTCAGCGAGGTTCACCTGATTTAACCTCCTGATACTAAATACTGCAGCCTCCATTCAGTTCAAAGTCTATTGCTGGTAAGCGTTTAACATCAATCCCTAGTCACCTTACATGCTGTGAAAATAATGGTGAAATGGCACATTTTCCAGATAAGAGAAGATTCAAACGATCACTTTAAACTGGCCCCCCCCCCCAGGTTTTACTGTCAGACTTTTTAATCACATCACATTGAGATCTGACTTTGCAGCACAAAGTCCTAATCAGCCCAGGAACCTGATGTGACCTCTCTTAGATCCCCTGATGAGGATCAATAAAGTATAAACTTTTAAAGCTACAGGAGACATCTAATTATTGATCCTGGTATCAATAGCACAAATTGAAATATTGAAATATGTAAATTAGAGGTTTCTAGGCCCAGCAGGTGAACTGACTGTTAATAAGATGCAGAACTCTGATTACAAAGACACCAAGATGTTTGTTGTTGCAGTAATTCACTTAAATTTAGCAGCCCCTGTTTTTTACAAGCTTAAAGTTCAGGTCATTTTCCACAACAATGGTCGATTTTCTGGGAGGAGCCGGTGGCCCAGTGGTTAGAGCGTGTGCCCCACGTACAGAGCCTATACGGTCCTTGACACCAGCGATTTAAATCCGACTTGTGGCACTCTCCCTCATTTCGGACACTATCCACTGTCCTACCTCTGCAGTTAAAGGCATGATTAAAAAAAAACACATGCTTCTTTCTGAAGTAGGTCATCAGCACACAAGGCAACCCGTCTGTCAAAAACAACCTTTCAGCATGTCAGCTGTACACAATACTGCAAAAGGCTTTGTTATCATGGACTGATGATGTTCACACAAACAGCTGCAGAAGCTTGTCTAGACAATTGCCCTACGGTGCACTTCAAAACAACACCAGAAACAGACAAAAAGGTAGAGAGCCTTAAGCCTCCTGGCAAATGACATGTGGACCCTCACACTTAATGACACCACGCCCCCAATTATGCAAATGACAGAATAACTCTTTGACTTAATAACATCAAAATGGATTAGATAATAAAGAAATGAGCTTTTGATACCTGCATCATATTTGAACCAGGCTTTTTGCTGTACAAGTGGGCATTTTAATACGGGGCTTAACAGGGTTTCCTTTTCACCTCCATACTGGCTTCGTTTTTAACACAGGAGGTTGCCGCTTGGGTTCAACAGGTTAAGTCATTTGAAAAACAGATCATAAATTTGTCCCACACAGCTCTACAGTAAATCTGAAACATATTGCATTTTAAAACCCTAGCTGCTTCAATTTCCTGTTGTTTGATCTAATAAAACACACTCATCCCTCATTGGTTTACTCGGCTCTTACGGGAGCTTGAATCCTCATCTTTCATGGCAGATAAATGTCAAGTTTAGAGGTTTGAGGCATTAGGAAAATAAGCGCCACACTTTACACCTCCATGATCACCATCATCACGTCTGTGGTCTTTAAACGTCAGCTGGCGCCTCTGAGGAACAGCTGGCAGCTCACATGCAGCTTGATGACAGGGTTGTGACTGAACCGCTATTATTCACCCCGCAATTGCTACTTCTTACAGCTAAAAGCTAACCATTGATGTACTCGACAGAGCTCCACTTGTGCCACGCTTTATGACATCATCCGTCGAGACTCGGGAATGAATGGAGTCAAAAAACGTCTCTCTGAATCCGGCTGCACAGGACGAGGCTCATAAACACAAAGCAAACAAACAGAAATCACAGCGACTTCAGATTTCAGTCTCTGCCGATGATGTTTCCACAAAATACGCTGGCCTCAAGGCAAAAAAAAAGAGAGATGCATGACATGTTTTTTGGTCGCTGCGAGTGTTTTATTGCTCGGTGCAGCTGTGAAGCTCACTGCAGGCGAGATAAGACGTTTAATCAGACTCTACACTCACTCAACAAAAGGTGATAATCTGATTATAGGTATTACAGAGCTGGAACACAATCCTCATACAGGTTGAGGTGATCCCTGCACATCAATATCCACCACCAGGAAATCATGTCTGCTGCTCTCTGGCGTCAGGGTTTGGCTCTTGTTTATTTTCCTCCTGATGTTGAGAAACACTTGGTCCCCAGTCCCGGCGTCCACGTCCCAGGGGCATGTTGCATGGCTGCGGTAGCGTGAGACTCGTAAACAGCACAAAACATGCTCGCCTGTGATTGGCTGGTTGAAGGGAGGTGGGTTTAGGGTGTGGAGAGGGATTGAGGGAGTCAAAACAACACCGACTTCTATTCTGCTGTTTGTTTGCTCTACATGTGAGCCGGGTTAAACTGGATCCTCAGGGCTGTCATAGTAACCTCTCATTACCTTCATATACACTCCAGGTTTCAGTGGGTTTGTAAACTGAACATAATACTTCAAACCCTCAGTTTAGAACCAGTGCTCAAGCTAGCGTGAGGATTTTTTTTAGCTGATTATGAAAATAACTGACATCAATATTGATGAGCTACAAAAGGAAACAAGATCATCTCATAATTTTGCTTTTTTAAATAATATTTTACTCAAAAAAAAAAAAGGGTCACAATGAGTGATAAGTTTCGCTGTTAAAGGAGGAATGTGCGACTTTTAGATCCAGTAGATGTGGCCCCCCGAGCACCAGCATGAAACCGGAACGAACTGCTGTTTGGCCACGCCTCCTCCACACTGAAGCCTCCGCTCTCCTCCAGCGACACACCTCCAACCCCTCCCCACCCGCCTCGGCACCACGGAGTCAAGTGCAAGCGGTGGACAAGAAATTCCTTTGCTCGGCGCAATATTTTGGATTTTTGAATGCGAAATAATGGAATTTCAAATGTGATTAAAAATGCAATTAATCACAATTAACTATTGGCAGCTCTAATTTATACCGATGAGTGTAAACAAGCTTTGCAAATCTTCTCCTCTTCAACCGGTCTCCAAACTTTGGTCAGGCCTTTTTTTTTCTTTTTTTTTTTAAAGTGATTTTTTGTGCTTTTTTTTTGCCTTTATTGGGAAGGACAGCTGAAGAGAGACAGGAAATGATGGGAGGAGAGATTGAGGGATGACATGTAGGAAAGGCCCAGGTCGGATTGGACTGTAGCCTCTTTACATGGGGCGGCCGACATAACCGCATACGCGATCGGCGCTCCGACATACGTCAGACCTTTAAGTGTTGACAGCTTCATTGACCGGACTCAGAGTAGGATCTCTTACATGTTGATGAAGGCCGATGACTTGCCACATAATGAGAGAAGGTGATGAGTCAGCCAGAGAAAGGATTAGCAGAGACACTGACGTACGGTATAGAGCAGCTCTTTCACTGAGCTTCTCCCTGAAGAGGCTTCTTAAATGAAAGTGTGTCTTTGTCTCAGACTGTGTGTGGGTCCAAACCTCGCCGTGACAAAGAGCTTTGTCTCCCACACGTCAGCTTCCAGCCTCGTACCTCCACGATGAGCTGATATGCTGCACCACATTAATATTTAATAAGGAGATTCTGTACAGCAAAAGGCTACACCCAGTAGTCTGCAACCTGTACCAGATACTTGCTAGGTGTCTGTACTGTATGTAAATGAGCGCAGGCTTCTTTCCCGCTGCTCCGCTTTTTCTCTTACAGAGATCGCACTGGCATCAAAGACGAGCAGTATCAAAGACATGAAACATGAATGCAAAGGGTTGACTTAATTTGGAAACAAAAAAGCCAAAAGTTTCTGTTTCAGTGGATAACTTTAATTGTAGGTGTGGCCTTACTTATCCATGTAAAACATTAAACCACTGTCCAGTTACACAAAAGGGCTGATGATTAAAATTTCAAAGCAAAGTGAACAACCAGCTGCTTTGTAAATCGTCGTCCAAAAAATGTCCTGTCCAGTCAGCGTCGAGGCCTTGAACCACTGACCGTCTGCTGACCTGCCCCGTCGACACAAACCACTCTTCCCTCTGTCTCTCACATTTCTCTCTCTCTCTCTCTCTGTTTCTTTCTCTCGCCCCAGGATGTCACATGTGCAGCACACAATCAGGTCAGCGTCTCGGACATTATGTGTGAGTGTGTGTGTGTGAAGTGTTACGAGATGGCACCAGCCGGCGTGACAAGTCGAGCAGAGGACAGAAAATGTGCAAATAAACCGTCTTCATTCCCTGTTAGATGAAAGTCGACTTTAATCATCAGGAAAACAAATCAATTGAGAGGACT